CAGAAGATGATTCACACTCATCTGAGTCATCCCATGTTGCCATCAGAACCTTCTTCTTTTTGTTGAACTTCTTCTTAGGTTTTTCTTTCAGAAGTTTGGGGCAGTCATTTTTGTAGTGCCCAGGTTCTTTGCACTCATAGCACACCACTTCTTTCTTGGCAGATCTTCTGTGACTAGAAGATTCCTTTCTGTTGTCAGATCTTCTGAAGTTGTTGAACTTCTTTCCCTTGTGCTTCCAGAGTTTGTTAATCCTTCTAGACAGCATGGATAACTCATCTTCTTCTTCAGAAGAAGAATCTTCAGAGCTTTCTTGAATGACCTGCAAAGCTTTAGCAGTTTTGTTAGATTTTAATGCTACAGATTTACCTTTATCTTTCTTCTGAGGTTCATCTTCCTCCAGCTCAATCTCATGGCTCCTCAATGAGCTGATGAGTTCTTCTAGAGAGATCTTGTTCAGATCTTTGGCCATCTTCAGGGCAGTCACCATTGGTCTCCATCTGATGGGCAGACTTCTGATGATTTTCTTTACGTGATCTGACGTGGAATATCCCTTGTCCAGAACTTTCAGCCCAGCAGTGAGTATCTGGAATCTGGAGAACATGACTTCAACAGATTCAGAGTCTTCCATTTTGAAAGCCTCATACTTCTGGATCAGAGCCAGATCTTTTGTCTCCTTAACTTGAGAATTTCCCTCATGGGTCATTTTAAGGGATTCAAACATATCAAAAGATGTCTCCCTGTTTGTGATTTTCTCATACTCTGTATGTGAAATAGCATTCAGTAATATGGTTCTGGCTTTATGGTGATTTCTGAAGTCTTTCTTCTGAGAATCTGTCATAGATTTTCTGTCAATCTTTTTGCCATCTCCATCTGTGGGATGTACATATCCATCTATGACAAGATCCCATAAATCAGCATCATATCCTAGGAAAAAACTCTCAATTCTGTCTTTCCAGTAATCAAATTTTTCTCCATCAAACATTGGAGGCTTGGTGCTGATCCTATCCCTCTCCTCATATTTATTGTTAATATTTGACATTGAATTATCAGCCATGATAACAAATAAATATATTTATCAAAGTATATCTCTCTGGATCTTTACTGACACTGTTAAGTGATAGCACACTCAGAACCGGAGCTCTGATGCCAACTGAAGGTGAGATAATACTTAGAAAGGGGGGGATTGAATAAGTATGGAAAATTAATACTTGAAAATAATCACACAATTATTTTTATCCTGGTTCGTTAAACAACTACTCCAGTCCACCCTTCCAGAGTGATTTGCCTTTCTCAACAAGGACTTAATCCACTATTAAATCAAACTGATTACAATAGTATCACCTAAGAACAACAGTTCTTAGTCTTCTCAAAAGCTACTGATTCTAACTGAATCCTCTTAAGGAAAATCCTTTACAATCAATGTAAATTAAATACAAGAGTTTTTAATGCTTCTACAAAGCTTTAATCACAACAGTGATTTTTCTCTTAAGTTTAAGTACAATGAGATTATATGAAGAATAAGAATGAAAGCTTTTAGAATATTATGATTTCTTTTCAGCAAGTGTGTAGCACTAAAGAATGAAGTGAAGATCTCTTTTTATAGGCAGCTGAATCATGCAAGCTGAACATTGAAAAGAGAGTCCAAAAGGTCTGAGCCTTTTTGTCTTCACATCAACTGACCTTTCCTTGAAATAGATGGCACAGAAAAATCCTTTTTGTCTGTGTAAGTGTGTCTAGCACAAATAAGGAAAGAGACGTTGAATAGTTCCAACGGATATAATCTTGAAATTACTTCTTTAGTTTCAGCAAGTTCTTCAGAGTCTGAATGGATCAGAGTCTTCTAATGAGAATCAGAACTATGCTGTATCAGAGTCTTCTGCAGCGTGTGTGCTTCTAGCGTGTTGATCATCAGAGCATTTTGACACAGAACTTCAGTACAAGGCAGCGTAGGTACTTTCAGAATCTTCTGTAGACTAATGCTTTGAGAAACTCTTCAATCAATATTCTTCTATACTTCTGATTCTTCAGCTTCAGATGCTTCTGACTATCTTCAGATGCTTCTGATTATCTTCAGATGCTTCTGACTCAGAATGTTCTAGAGCTTCTTTCTTCAGATCCTTCTGGAGACTACGCTCAGGATCTTCTGTAAGGAGCAAGCAGATTCTTCTGTGAGGTTCATCTGGCGCTTCAGAGTCAGGATAACTTCTTGTATTCAAGGCAGATTTGCTTCTAGAGAGTTAATATAATTTCAATCTGCAGTAAAACTCTCAAACAAATTTTAGAGTATATAATTCTTAAATATAAATTTCCTAACAGTTATCATCAAAACAAAGAGTAATTATTAAGAACCAATCTGTGTTCTAACAAAGTCTTCATCCTGATGCTGATATCTTGAAAATGGTTGAACATCTTTGCCTTCTTGTCGAGTGATTTGTCTTCATCAAAACATAAGTTGATACTTGAGAATCTTGATTTCACAACAGATGTTACATTTGAGATTTTCTTAAACTCATCTTCACCCAATGTCTGATAGATGAGGAAAAGAGCTTTATTGTCTCTCTTTCTTAAATCCTTCAAAACATCATTTTGTGCTTGAGTTAAGGAATCTTCATCTCATGATTCCTTATAACCCTTTTTAACAACCTTCCAAACATTATGTGCTCCAAGAAGAGATTAATTTTGATATACTAATTATCATAGGTATTTCCTTTGAGAAGTGGAACTTGGAAGGATGTTGCTCCATTGTTTGCCATGGCCATAAAAGGAGTTCTTAGCGACACCTAAACTCTGATGCCACTTTGTTGGAAAAGGAAAAGACTATATTAAGGTTTTGTAAGGAATTAGAAGGTGAGACTATTTGAAAGATTAACAATTTCTATTGAGAGGATATTTTACAAATTTATTTACTTGTTTCTACTTGTTTGATTTACAAATGATAAGTTTTTCTCTATTTATAGGCTATACGAGAAATTCCTACATATACCCATAAAATATTCTAGATACTTCAAGGAAGAAAACATTCTACACACTAATCTCTACTACTTACATTTATTTATTATTATGACTAAATTAATCTATTTCTACATCTCTATAAAAAATGTTTTGAACTATACCACTATCACTAACAAATTTGTTGGAATTCAACTACAATATATGGAGAGTTTCACTCAATCTTGATGAATAAGATTGTTATCAATCACACAATGACAATGACAAGAAAATGTTGAGAAAGAAAGAAAATAATGTTGGAGAATAAGAATATTTTCTGTTGAGTTTCTCTCTACCCACAAACCGTTGAAACCTGTTTTATTCTCTTGCAACTGCAAATTCTGTGAATACAATATTATGAGTTGTTTACAAAATAAAGGTTACTCCCTATTTATAGATTTAAGTTAACTTGCACCCTAAATCCCAAAAACTATAAAAGTCCAAAATAGTTAACATTACTAAAATATTCCTAAGTCGAAATCCTATGTGAAGCAACATGCTTCGACACTTCGACACACTAATACAACTCTACACATAAATATTTCAACACAGAATTACATTCTTAACACACCACCTAATTAATTGTGTACTGCAAATTCTGTTAATATAATGTCATGAGTTGTTTACAAAATAAGAGTTACTCCATATTTATAGATTTATGTTAGTTTGCACCCAAAACCAAAGCGCAAAACTATAAAAATACAAAATAATTAACATTACTAAAATAGACCTAAGTCATAATTCTGTATAAAACAACCTATTTGACACTTCGAGACACTAATATAACCCACCACATAGATATTTCTAACACAAAATTACTTTCTTAACAATATTGACCTCACACATTATCAAATCATGTGAATAATTTAACACAAACAACATTTAAAACATTGAAATGGACTTATTCACAAATAGTTAAAGTCATATACATTATCAATAGAAAACAAAGATAAATAATTGATGGACAATAAACATGGGTAAAATTTTAAACAAGGAATTGTCGGTAAGGTTTGATGATAATAACGTGAGAAAATTGTACGTTGAGGGTATGAAATGGACCAATAGATAGCGATATCTTAACGGCATAAACTAAGACACCCAATGCTTATTTATTTATAATTTCTTTTTCTTTTTCTTGGATTATTAACATCTTAATTAAGTTTTCACCACTTATTTAAAAACTCAAATTCCTACCCTCTAAACATTCATTGGTTCCAATGTTTTTAGTCTTATTTCTTGACCATAATAAACTTTGAACCATGAAAACAAAACATAGAAATACTAATACTTAATTAACTCACTTAATAAACTTAATTCCTTATATTATTCCATCTTTAGAGAAAAAACAAATCTCAAAATTAAAAAAATTAAACTAAACCAACCACAAAAATATCCAAAAAAATTCCAAAAAATTCAAATAGTCTTATCTACCTATCCATCCACATAGAAAACTTATGCAATTGGACATTTGATAAATAAAATCAAGAATTAAATTATTCCTATTATTATATCATTATTATTATGCCATTTGGTAGTTTCTTTCCTACCCTCATAATATTTTTATTATAAATGTAAGAATCTAAGATGTTAGCATATTCTTATTTAACTTTCTCACTCAAACCCTTGTTCATTATCTCTACTTTTTTATCTCTCTATAATTTTCTCTCTTCTCTTGCATCTCTACCTTGCTCTCACCACAAGGTAATTATCAACATCACCCTTTTCTTTATTCATTATCTTTCATCTTATTTCACATTTTATTTTCTTTATATTATTACTATAACTTATGCTATAAAAATTGGATTGGTTTGCTTGATTTTGGAGATTTCTCTGTTTCTATATCCTCTGCTCTCTCTCTTCTCTAACCTTATCTTTTACTATCTTGCTTTGTGTATGAGTTTTTTTTTTTTATTTTTATTAAATGGAATATTTATTTATTTATTTTTTCAATGGAATGTTTTGATCTGTGTGTGATATATGAATTTGTGTTTTTGTTGAATAGGTAAAGAGAGATGGCAGAGTGTAACAGAGAAGACTATTTCGCTGCCAATGACGTTGAGGTGCATAATTTTATCTCAACCTTTTAGTTTTTTAGTTTTTAATTATTCATCTTACCATACACATCTTAAATGTTTTTTACATTTTTATTTCTTTTATAATATGAGAAACTATTTACCCGGGTTGTGTTTAGGTGAAAATATTAGTTTTCTAGAATATGATGGATTAATATTCAAATTATGAGAGTTTGATTATTATTATTATATTTGAAGTTGAGTCTAAAATCTCATTTGTGAATTTCAATTTGTATGTCATTTGTCTAGAAACCAAAATTATAAGGAAGCAACTTAAGTGCACGTGTTGAATTCCAATTGTGTACATTTCTTGTACCAATGTACTATATTTTCATAATGTTGGTCACCATGTACTTAGTACTTTAACTTTTCATTGTGTCTATGATACATGTATTTTAGGTTTTTTAAATAGAATTTTGTGTTTAGGGTTTAAGGTTTAAGACATTCGTTCTCAATTTTGTTATCTGCAGTTATTTGTGTTGTTAATGTTGATATATGCAGTTACGCGTAGAAGATATTCGGATTAAAATTTGAAAATATGGTTGTGTTAATTCATTTAGATACTATTTTGAGATTTTAAAATGAAGATATTTTTGGAGAGGGAAAGAAATTGTCGGTTAGAAGATTTGAAGGGGGACCCTACCTTAGGAGGATGTCACAACAAAGTTAACAAAACAAAAATCAGTATGCAAAACAAAATAAGCCTAACTGGCCTTTGGGCTGTCAAGCAATTCATGTGAACCTTATTTCTCCCAAACATGAGAATCCCGTGCCAATAATTAGTTCTTGCTTTTTTCTTCAACATATTTTTTGGATCTTCTAGAATATTCTCACTATGTTTTTTTTCTTCTTGATTGTATTGTAATCTCAAAAGTAGTTAGGTGCAAATTAGGTTAACTCTAGAATTAGTCAAATGGTTTTTTATTTGTTTATTATCACAATCATCCCATGAAGTCACCCAAGTATCATATGAGTGGGTGTAGAGTATAGACTATTATTTCATCATTTTTTTGTTTTGTTTTGTTTTGAATAATAGTCTCAATTGACAACTATGTAATTTGAACATTTCCCATGATTTATGATAATAAATAAATCATGCAAAAAAAATTATAAATATTATTTATGATTGGTGAGATTTAATTTGGCCATAAATTTATATTACAAAAATAATTAAAATATATATTTTTTAAATTTCTTATGTCGGAAATAACAATATTTTTTGAAAACCAGTCATCATCTGGGGGCAAGAAGTATGGTGGGCTTGTCCCAAAGAAAAAGCCTTTGATATCCAAAGTAAGTCCATAGTAAGAAAAAAAAACAATTTTTTAATACTGTGATTATTCATTTATTTTACTTTTTTATTAAAAATTTCCACTTATTTAATTATTATTTTGTGTGTGTGGTAAATAGGATAATGAAAGGGCATATTTTGATTCAGCAGACTGGGCATTATGCAAGGTATGTTTTAATTATAATTTATGTGTTTATATTAAATATTAAAACATATAGCAAAACATGTTCATTTATTAACATGATTATTTATTGGAAATTAATCTTAACAGCAAGGTGCTGGAGTGAATCAACAATCTACAGCAGCAGTAGAGACGCTGCGACCAAAACTACAGGTACATTTTTTTCTATATAAATAAGCAAAATATTTTTTTTGTTCCCTTAACTATATCTCGGGGTTCATTTTGATTCCTTAACTTTAAAAAGTTTCATATTGGTCCCTTAACTCTTCAAACGTTTCATATTAGTTCTTTTTGACCTATTAGTAACGGAAAAAAATCAAAAAACTGTAGCTAAATTCGTCGCTAATAAGTCAAAAAAGACTAATATGGAACGTTTGAAGAGTTAAGGGACTAATATAAAACTTTTTAAACTTAAGGGACCAAAATGAACCCCGAAGTATAGTTAAGGGATCAAAAAAGATATTTTGCCATATAAATATTAATAATATTTATTCATAATTTGTGTGCATTAATCCATTCTTTCTCTTTTTCTTTTTTTTATAAAAAAAAAACAGAAAACTCCACATCAACAACTTCCCCCAAGAAGACCTGCATGCACATCTGGTTGAAATAAATTTGTGAGTTACTCTCATAATTTGTTTTAATAAAAATGTGTTTTAATTATTATATATTCACTAATCTTAATTCCATGATAATGCAGGGAGATTAGATTGAATAATTGGCAGAAGGGTTTGGTCATGATGAGTTAATTTTATAAATTTCATGATGTATTAGCTGGTTTGATTATGATGTATATTACCATTAATTCATTTCATGCTTTTGATTATTGGGACTTAAATAAAACTTCATTTCAGTTTCTTTTTGCTTTACAAGGAACTTTCAACTTTATTTGACAAAACGTGGGGGTTGGGGTTTGAAATGTGGTAAACCCAATTTCAATATCTCATCTCATGAAGAAAATAATTATTGGGTGTTTATGTAAGAACTAGTATTATTTTGTTAGTCTCATAATAATTGTCGTATATGTAATAATTTTTTATTTTAAAAAAATAGAATGTCACTTTCAATTTTTAATCTGGTTTAAATAAAAATAATTTGATAAACTCATTATTTTCACTGTCGAATTTTGGATAATTTTTTTAAGGAAGAAAAACTTTTTACCACACTTTTAGAATTTAATTCAAAATTAATTCGGCCCATATTGAGTTTTCTCATTAAATTCTTACTTACAAGGACAAAATAGTTTTTTACGCATAAAATGTAGGTTTGACTTAAATGAATTGAATCAAAGTGATTTATAATTCAAGTCAAAGTGTTCTGTTTACATGAATCGATTCAAAGCAGTTATGAATTAAATCAAATGAGATTTTTTTTTTCAAAATTCGTGTGATCTTTGTTTATGTGATCCGTTTCACATTACTGCATGAATGGATTCATGATTTACAATTTCTTGCCATGTTTAAATTTTGTTTGTGTGATTCAATTCATATAATTGCTTGAATCAATTTATGACCTGAAATTTTTATCATCTTTTCATTCTATTTGTGTGGAACACTCGGTGAGAAATAAGAAGTAGTAGTTACAAGTTAGTTATTCCAATAACTAACTCGTTGGACAAGTTTTCCCTATTGGTGTACAAGATGAAGAAGATGAAGATGGATGAAGAGATAGAAGAGAGAAAAATAACAAACTTCCACTACTCTTGCAAAACGGTTACAGTGAATGATTACAATTCATTTTTTAATGGCTAAGCACAATACTTACTTATATATACAAACAATAATGCCACGTAGACCAAAATGCTAACCTACACTAATTAGGTTAAGCTTAACAAAAAACTAATACTATTACTGAATATGAATTACTTCTAACACCACCCCTTAATCCATATTTAGCTAATCAAAACTAACAACACCAATTTTATCCCTTAAGTAGAGAAATTAATCAGTCTTGATCGCCTTCGTCAAAACATCTGCTACCTACTTCTGGGTGCTACAACGCACAATTTCTAGCACTCCTTTTTGGACTTGACTTCTCAGAAAATGATATTTTGTCTCAATGTGCTTGCTTCTCCCATGCAGCACCAAATTCTTGGCAAGATTGGTTGCATACTTGTTATCAATCATCAACTTTAGAGGCTTGTTTACCTTGATCTCCAGATCCTGCAGTAAATTCAAAAGTCAAACAACTTGACATGTAGCCACAACACTTGTAATGTAATCAGCTTCACAGGTTGACAAAGAAACATTTGGTTGCTTCTTGGAACACCAAGAAATAGGACCACTCAGATACTTAAACAAATATTCAGAAGTACTTCTTTTGTCAACTCTGTCTCCACACCAATCAGAGTTTGAGTAGCACATCAACTCTGGATTAGCATTTTCACTAAAAGGAAACAAAACTCCATACTTCAGAGTCCTCTTAATATATCTCAGAATGCTAACAGTAGTTTTGTAATGAGACCACTTCGGTTTACTCATGAACCTAATAATCATTCCAATTGCATTGCAAATATCAAGTCTGATATTATACAAAAACCTTAGAGAGCCAACCAACTACTCAAAATTTGTATCATCAACATCATCACCCTCGCGATCAGAATCTAATTTGTGATTTATTTTTGAAGGTGTGACATCAATCTTACAATTCAGCGGCTTGAATCTCTTCAGAACTCAAGTTCATACTTCAGTTGATGCAAAATGATACCCTTGTTAGAGTACATAATCTCCATCCCTAGAAAATATGTCATATTTCTTAGATCATTCATCTCAAACTCATTCATCAACACCTTTTTGAATGTAGCTATCTCATGTTCACAACTCCTTGTTAGCAATATGTCATCAACATAGAGACACACCAGAATCATATTGCCTTCAGAAGTATGTTAAACATAAACGACATACTTCATCTCACACTTTCTAAATCCTTGACGCTTGAAAAATGAATCAATTTTCAGATTCCAAGCTATAGGAGCTTGTTTTAGTCCATACAACGCTTTATGTAACTGGTATACCATCCCTTCCTGATTCTTTTTCACAAATCCAGGAGGTTGTGACACGTATACCTCTTATTACAATGGGCCATTTAGAAAGGAAAATTTGACATCCAAATGCATCAGAGGCCAATTCCTGTTAGCAGCTATCCCAATCACCAATTTGATTGTCTTATGTCTCGCTACAGGCGCAAACACCTCAAAGTAATCTAACCCAGGTTTTTGTAGAAATACTTTTACTACTAACTTTACTTTGCGTTTTCCAATTAATCCATTTGGCTTCAGTTTCACCTTGAAAAACCATATGAAGCTAATGGCTTTCTTGTTCTTTGGAAGCTCAGTCAACTCCCAAGTATTATTTCATTCTATAGCCTTATGTTCTTCTTTCATGGCCTTCAACCATACATTCTTCTTGAAAACTTCTTATGTACTTCCTTTCCTTGTTTGACCAACAGTCAGCAACAAAGTGGCCAAATTTCTTACAACAGGAGCATTGAATCTTCCTTTAGTCATACTTCTTCTTCCCCTTCTAAGCATTATTCTACCTTTCAGAAGTTGAGGTTTTTGACTTTTGAACACCATTATATTTCTTCCCGGCTTCTGACCAAGACCGCTTCTGATATTTCTTACCATAAGTTGCTTTCAGAGCCTGCTACTCCACCTCTCTTTAAGAGTTTCTCTCAGTCAGACGTAACTCTTTTGCCTCTAGACTGCTTTACAGCTCTTCAATTCTTATGGTGCTAAAATCCTTAGAATGTTCAATTTCTACAACAATCTAATCAAACTGAGGAGTAAGAGATCTAAGTGCATTTTCAATAATATTTTCATCAGAGAGATTTTCTCCACAAGACTTCATCTCATTTGTGATCAGAATCACTCTGGAGATGTAGTCAGGTACCTTCTTCGTGTTCTTCATGCAGAGATTGTCATACTGCTTACGTCGAGACTAAAGTTTCACCTTCTTCACTGATCTATCACCACTGTAACACCGTACCGGTGTGTCCCACACAGTCTTCGCCATCGTCGAATCAGTGATTTTCTCAAACACGTTCTCATCCACACAATGATGGATGTAGAAAAATTCCTTATGAACCTTCTTCCTCATATCATGCTGAGCATCCCTCTGTGCATCCGTTACATTTTCTGGAAGTGCAATCAAAAGGTAACCATCGTTGACGAGATCAAATCTTGAGTGTCAAACAACACACGCATCTGAATCATCCATCAATTCTAGTTCCTGCCATTGAACATTAGATGCTTAGTACTTAGAATACAGTTTTCATTCATCTTCAACTTTGTGCAATTCACTTAGATCTCACCAAACACTAGTGTTTTCCAGTCTTGCTGAATTAAGAAATGTGATTCTGTTATGATTCCGATCAAAAAATTTCAACACAAATTCAAGAAACAAAATCAATCACACAATGCCTCACCGTTCAAGTGTGTTTCCCTGTGTTTCCATGTGGATATGAACTAGAGCTCTAGATACCAATTGTTGGTGCACAAGATGAAGAAGATGAAAATGGATGAAGAGAGATAAGAGAGAAAAATAAAAAAAAATTCCACTACTCTTACAAAACGGTTACAGTGAATGATTATAGCTCATTTTTTAATGACTAAGCACACTACTTACTTATATAGATAAACAATAATGCCACATAGGAAAAAATGCTAACCTACACTATATAGATTAAGCTTAACAAAAAAAAACTAATTATATTACTGAATATGAATTACTTCTAACATTCCCTTTATAGCATGTTGATGACGCCTTAACCTATCATTTTTTGACCTGATTTATGCATGTTTTCCTATTGTTTTTAATACATTTTTCTAATATTATACTAGTTATTTACTTTGTTTCAGGAAATTCACTAATCAGGAGCTATTTGCGAAGAAGCGAGGCAAAACGGACAAAAAACGAGGAAATGGAGCAGACAAGCACCTTTGGCAACCCCCATGGCGTTCATCCTAGGGGTGCCATGGGTGGTCCATGCACCAAGTAGTGGGATGACCTAGTCATACCCACTTTGTAAGCATGGCGGTCGCCATGAGGGTGTGGCAGTCACTACCTTTTGGAAGGCCCAAATGGTTACAAACCAGCAAAGTTTGGTCTCCAAGGAATAAAAAATGGTTCCTACTTTTTCTCCACGAAGTTGAAGCAATTCTGTCATACCCCAAATTTTACCCTCAGATCCTTTGATCTTTTGCATATCATTCTAGGTCAATCATCTTGCATATTCCATTTTATCAGCTAGAATGAACTTGTTGGACTTACAGACGAGTCAGTCAAACTAAAATTCGGTCCCGATTAATTTCAAAATCTGACAAATGCTGCATTTTTCCGAGCGATTTTATTCCACGCTGATAGTTTTAGTGCAATCATTTTTATTTTCGGGAATATCGGTACCCGACCTTGTTGTTCGCATTTATTCATCATATTTGTAGTTTGTGGTTATCTCATCTTTTAATTAATTTAGACTTTTATTTTAGTTAACTCTTTTTTCTTTATTACTTTCTTTTAAGTTGATTTTATTTCTTATTTCTTAATTATTATTATTATTATTTTAATTTATTTATTATATTTATTTATTTTCTTATTATTTATTGTATTTT